TTCTTCTGCAGCAATCATCTTGATAAATTGCTCTGGCCATGTGTTGCATTGTAAACTTGCCAGGACTGTAAATACTGTAGTAGTCTGCTATGCTACTAGAATATTAAGTTGGTGTAAAAGATAGGAACAAGATCTGTTTTAATTTTTTCCAGAGTCTTATCTACTGTAAGAAGAGCAGTCAAAGTGATAATGTAAGGTTATATGATGTGTTGCTGTCAACATCACCTTCAAGATGCACTTTTTCTTCCAGTGCTTATTTCTTTATGACTATTTACACAGACTAAGGTTTTTTTAGACCAGTTTCTTTCTGCGTCTTGAATGACCACAGTGTCAGTGATGTATTCAGTCTTAAATCACATCTTTCCAAGGATGACACAGTGAGTGCAGTTCATTTTAAATCACAATGTGTCAGTGGATGAACTGTGAATCTTTGCTCACTTAACTCCCTGAGTGAAAGGTGTAATAGATGAATGTCAAGACATGAATCCACATCTTCTATCCTAAAATGAACTGAATTACCAGTATATACCCTCCAGAGATGATCTAATTGTTCCTGGTAAGTTTGAATAAGCCTCTTAACTCAAGTGGTAAAATGTCAGTTTGTGTAAAAGCACAAAGCATCTCAGCTTCATGATAGGATTACTCTGCACCAGAACTGATCATTTTATAAATTTAAACAGAAAACTAGCAGAATGGAAACAGTAATGTTAAAACAATCCTGACATGATTAGATGTTAACCAGATTCCTGTCGCTACATAATTACTATCCTATGGATAATTGAAAAGAGTATCTTACATATAAAACAATACAGCTAATTTGATCATTTAAAATTAATTATTCTTCAACAAGAATTTATAATTGAAATAGTTAATGAAGTGTTGAAGTCTGTTCAACTGTAAATTGTCTAATTTAAGATCTTACGCCTCAGGTGATCCCCTGACTCATCTTTTGGGTGAATAGCCTGAAGTATTGCCCTAAAAAATAAGAAAATTAATACAGCACTCAAGGTCATATGCCAGAAAACTCTGAGAGGAACCATCCATCTACTGCTCCAGGGGACTGGCCAAGGTAAAACGGGTTGAAGTTTCAGAGCTCTTTAAAATGACATGAGCATTTAAGCTCAACAGTGAAGAAGTGTGTCTTTGACTTACTACACTAACTCATCTAATATTGCTCTGCTGTGGCCAAGAAACTCCTAAAATTTACACAGTGAAGTTGTTTTGATTCAGTGGCTGAAGCACATACATGTACAGCTTGTTGTCAGGGCATGTTGATTTCCCTTATGTGTCTGGCAGGGCGGCACGGTGATTAGTGCTGTCACCTCACAGCCAAAAGGTTTGAGCCTATGCCGAGACTGTTGCCTTTTTGTGCGGAGTTTGCATGTCATCCCTGTCCCTGCATGGGTTTTCTCCGGGCACTCCGGCTTCCACCGTCATGTAGTTTAGGTTGATTACTGGGAGGAGTGTGTAGGAGTGAGTGTGGCTGTCTGTCTCTAAGTGTGAGCCCTGTGATAGACCGGCGACCTGTCCATGGTGTACCCCGTGTCTCGCCCAATGTCAGCTGGGATTGGCTCCACCCTCCCCACGGAGATAAGTGGTATAGATAACGGCTTGATGGATGTGTCTGGCAACAGCTGCCATCCTCCAATCCTCCTCTCACCTCACTCAGTGAAAAATAAATACTGCAAGGAAGCAACAGAGCTGGCCCACCAGAAACACACATGCTTACACACACCCCAACTTAGCCCAGTATATCACATGTCGTGTCAGACACCAGTCACTGTGCTGGGAGTACTTGTGTAACAGTGTGAAGGGCCCTTTTATCTGTAATTTGCTGCAATCAGAGACCCTGGCCCCTTGGAGTACAATGAGTCAGATACTTGAAACCAATCCCTTGCCAGACACCATACAAGGAATGTACCCTGTCCTGGTTTCCTTGGCTAAACTCCTTGCTTTGCCCTGTTGGTAAGCTCAACATGAACTCACAGTGGCACATCTAGTGAACCTGACTTCTTTATCAAAATAACTTAGGGACTGAGGTTTTGATCCTGGAAATGACTACAAGTCTGTAGTTGCATTATCCAGTCCCGTCTTCATTGTTATCCTCATTAGATTTAACATAATATGGAATTTTAAATTAAACACTGCACCGCACTGACACAGATGGCAGCGCTATTTCAAAATAACATTTGCTTTGACAAAGAGCTATTTACCATATTATTCAGCTCAGGTTCATAAACACATTTCAGTTCCTTCCAGCTGTTGTAATATTTCCCTTGATGTTAAAATTAATTTTAATATGAAAAAAACTATGTAATCTTTTAGTGGAAATGCATTACACTTACAGTGGAAAAACAAATCCTCCATCAGAATTTAAGAAATAAAGTTAACTTTGACTTCACTCAGAGACGTTTTGCTACTCAGTCAGATATCAATGTCACACTGGTCAACAAGAAATTGCAGTCAGTCAAATATATCATTACAGCCCAGTATCATAAATCACAAATTTATCAGCCCAGTATCATAAATCACAAATTTATCTCAAGAGGCTTTACAATCTGTACACTATACAACACCCTTTTGTGCTACATTCATTACACTACTAGCATTTATGCTAATTTAGGAGAAACATTTCTCCCTGTGAGGGAATATGTTTGCAAAGGGAGAAAAAGAACAAATCTAATCCAATAGAACACCACCATAAATTAAACTAGAGCATCTATAATTACTGTAAACATGCATCAACATCTCCCTAAATCACTAAACTAATATTCTTCCACTTCATTATATTGTCATATGCTCCTCCTATGTTGCCCACAGCTGTACTGTACATAGAATGTTGCAGGAAACACACTTTTGATTTAACATGGTGCTAGAAGTATTTTTTGCAGAACATCCCTCATGCAGGGATTTCCGCTCTCTGCATAGTCTAACAGCAGAGTGTCTAACAGGACCTCCAGTCCTCTGTCTTCACAATCTATTGAATCTCTTCTTGTTTATGTTCATGTAGTGGGTCAGACACTTTGCCTGTATCAAGCTACCTCTGCTTCACCAACTATGACAATGCTGATGCTGTAATTAGGTGAGGGTACAGTGCAGACAGGTATCATTCACTTTCAGGGACAAGGGGCAGTAGAGCTTGACAGCATTGACCTTGTCAGCAAAATAGACAACCCATCGAGTACTAAAGGTTTAGTCCTTTATTTTCCACAGCACATTTGGCCTGTGACATTATTTATTGTCACCTTACTCTGTCACCAGACCCATAGACACACCACTGAATTTATATGACAAAGTCCCACATCACATTTTCCCTCTGGTCATTTTCCAGGACCTATGATGCAAAGTATTAGCTGCTGACAGTGTTAAGTTCTGGTGGTAACAGGAATAATTGATGAGTGATTATTTATGGGGATGAGACCAGTCTGTGAGGACAAGGTCAAAGATGTGATTTAGAATAATGTGCCCAGAGAAAGAGGGAGAGAGAAAAGACTGCTGCCTCAAATAAGAACTAAGCAGAGGAAGTGTGACGTGTGCAATTAGTATGAGTAATGTGAGTCACATCTACCCAGACCAGGAGACTGTGATTTTTCCGGTGACACAGAGTTAAATGCTAAGCTTGATTAGTGCTCACATGTTTTCGACGCTGCATGATATGAGCCTTTCTAGGGTTTTCATCTAGGCCCTCTGCAGTGTATTTCCATCGGCTCTGAAGACTAAATAGCTAAACAACTGGAAGTGCAAGCACGTACGTTAGTCTGTTTTAATAAGTAACACTTTCACTGACACTTGTGGGCAGCATTAATGCCTTGATAGCTCTATAAATAGCAAGCAACAATTCTGCAGAGCGGGTAATTCAGCAGTGACTGCACAAACACGATTTTGTGTATCAGTACAGCACCACCTGTATAAAGGCCACTACAGCTACTGAAATATTTTCCTTGAGCAAGGGATGATGTGAAAAGTGTTTTTCATGTGTGCAGCTTCATATTTCGTGGTTAGTTACCCAGTTGCACTCACCCTCTTCCAGCAGATGTTTCAAACTAATCCAATGGATTAGGTAAATCTTAGCACAAGTAACAATTAGATACTCACAGTACTCTCAGAGGTTGCTGAGGTAGAGGAGGTCGAAGGTGTGTTGTGACCTTCACACAGCAGTAGCAAGGGACAAGTGCGTGCAGAGTTTCTTTTTACACTAGTCTCCCGCTGATCCGCTTTTGTTTTCCTGAAGGTAAAGCACAAGAACACCATAGTGTTGACATGGTGCTGAAGCTACAAAGTCTGAATGCATTCCCATTAATTTTCAGTTACTACAGGGATTCATAGTGTGTCTGCCATAGCTAAGAGTCAGAGCTTAGCTCTATTATAGGGAGAGCTGGATTTCAATTTGACATGATAAAATCTTGCAGGAATCACCTCTCTTGTATCCATCCCTGATCTTTATAGATGCAGGTCTGTTGATAATGAAGTTTGTTAACAATTAGCATTTAGCAAGATCTTTTTATTTTCATAATGAAAACATCCTTAAAAGAAATTCTTGACAGATTTATTAAATAGTCATAGAGTATTATATTCAGCTACACAATGCAACCTACAGCATGCGCAAACTACTTTGATTTAATTGTTTCCCAGGGTATTTTCACAGGGCGAGGAAGTGTTCCACTAGAAATCCACAGCTTAATTAAGATACTTGTTGTACAGATCCGCGTCCCTGCCAGCAAATGAAATTCGAATTACTTTGCATGAAATACGGTTTGATCACACAAGGGGGAGAACTGTCATGGGAGTTTGAAAGGTGGTCACATGCCTTGATCCCCCCCCATAAAGCAGCAGGACTCGTGTCTCCGCAAGCAACCTCTGATCACTGCTGAACAAGACTAATTAGAATGAGGGAATATCTTAAGCATCACGAAGAATCTGACAAGACACTGGTATTGTGTTCATCCCTACTGCACGCCTCTGGAAAGACAGCTGTGCCCACAATCAACTGCATGTTTAAACGTGCACATTAAGTCCCCCACATGCCTAGAAAACGCAGTGTGACTCGTTTGAATTGGACTCAGTTCCCCCTTCCGACCAGTGTGGTTCATTCCAGCGCCTCTGTATCCTCAGTGCGAGGTGCGTTTCTGCTGCCATCAACGCTGAGCCCGGCGGTTCAATCACTCCACTGACACAACAGCAAAGTCCATTTCGATGGCGAGATTTAGACTGAGCGGAGAGCTTCGCCTGCAGGATCGCTTTATGCCGAACTGTTAATGGGGTGAGTTATTTTGGGATATGAATCGTTGGCCGCCGAGTTTTCTTCTCTAACCACAAATCACGTTTTTAGATTAGGATCAAAAGTAAGGTTTCTGAGATGATGTGTAACAAGTGTCCTAGCTGATCATGGTCAACAGACTGGAGCGCATACCAGTGTAGTTATTTAAATGATGTTATGGAGAGAAACACTTTTGTTGAAGCTTGTAAGGAGGAAAAACACCTGCACATATGCTTTATTTAATGAAATTCCCGGTTTCGATGAGATCTGGGAATCACAAACCTGACAAATAAAGACAGAGTGGTTTGAAATTTTCCTCAAAACCACCCATACATTACCATTAAAGGTTTGCTTTATGTTACAGTAGGTCAGAGAACACATCAGCCTCAGAGAAACTCTCCTTGGAGAAAACTGTGTAACAAATGAGGTTTTCAGGATAGATCACTTTATACAAAGACAATGCCACTTGAATCACAAGGTTGTGACAGTGTGAGACTGGACACAAGTGTGAAATGAATGTGAGCTGTCAACATACTTTTTACCTGATTCTGCAGGTGGCAGCCATCAGTTCTTTGGTGGAAATGGTTTTGAACAGTAGCACTGAAATGAGCAAAGAAATCTGTAAGCACAACACCTAGCAACATAAGATACATATTCACAGCACTTTTCTTTCAGAAAATCGCATTATAGTGGCCAGAAATAGCTGCACCATAGAAAATATATTTAACAAAACATGCAAATCACATTAGGTTTGTGGCTCCCCATTAAATAATGAAACAGCACGGTGTGTCCTGCTGATTCTGGTGCAGTTACTTTTTTTGCAAGGGCTTGCGAGGCTCAGAAAGGAATTTAGTTAATGGTTAATTTGCTCTTTTTCACATCATAATGAAATATGCTTTCTAGAAATGTCTCCCCGCTGCAGCTCTGCCAGGAAACCTGACGGTTCTTCTCTGTGTTATTATGATTTTCACCTCTGCCCTACTGCTGGCATTAAAAAGCAAAAGTGAACAGACCTTATAAGTAATGAGATGTTAATCAGCCTCTGTCCCTGTTTGATTTCTCACAGTTAACCTAAATCCCCACAAGGCTCAGTGCTCATGTGCTCAGTGAACCAGCTGTCACTTGCGAGTCTCAAGACAGCGACTGACCTGCACCGATGGTTCACCCACACAGCTGTCTAACAACACTACAATTTGGACTTTAATGTATTCAGTTATAATCCGTTGATGTTACTGAACATGATTCCTGTCTTCTTCTCTGCCAGTGTCTTCGCTCTCACTCCATTCTCATGTACATATATGCATCCGCATGTGTTTGTCTGCATCTGTCTGACTTGTGTGTCTGTCTTTCACACAGTGAGTGACAGCCAGTGTTTGAGACACCTGTCAGCAGAGAATTTGTTGGGTTTGCTGAATGCTGTGTGGTTGATTGCCTGTTCCCTTCATAACCATTGTACAATTTCATGGCTATCAGGCTTGTTAATAGGAGCGGGGGAAAGAGAGAGCAGTGGGCCTGTCGGCGCGCTTGGTTGGACCCTTTGATTAAAGGGTTTGTGATGCTAAAAAACAGTGTCACGTCATATAAATACAGCGGCTGACAGGGACATGGTATTGTTATCACATCTGGCCTTATTGATGAATCCCAGTGACTGATAGCAAGCAGATCAATCTGACGCAGCCCACTGGGTGTAAAAACAAAAATGGATAAACCATTCCATTATTTTTTCTGCTGATTTTGCAGCAGAAAAATCATTATGTTCTTGTAAATTAAATAAAAAACATCTAATTAATTTATTCATAAAATTAATGCCTCACTGATGAAGCCAAAAATATTGTCATTAGGGGCCAAGCAACCACAAGAATAAGATCCTATTGATTAAATCCTGGAATTTAAAATCAAACTCAATTAGGGCCAATTATTTAAACTGAATTATATGCATTAGGTACACTCATTATGGACACTTGCATCGTGCCTAGAGGCCTGGGGAAAAACCTGAGCAAGTCATCCACACCTTCTTATTACAATGTCACAAGAGGAGACATGCAAAATGGATGATTGTGGTTAATATTTCAGTATTATATTCCATTTTAAAGAGTCTGGTAGATCCACTGGGTCGAGGTGATCAGTATTTTTAAGCCTGGAAGGATTTTTAGAAGCAAGAGTACAGCGGGTCAGAGGTCAAAGCAGTGGGAGACATGTAAACTGTGCTTTAAGAAATAAGAAAACATGAGTGATCGTTAAAACTACCATCTTAAAAGATTGTTAAATCAGGCCCATCTGAATGTTTCCGAAGCATGATGCATATCTGACATTTAAAATCTGTATTAACTTTTCATCATCCATCTGAAAGAGAGTAGAAATGGTGATTTAAGATTCATTGTTTGTGCACCATTGAACAGTGCGTAGTGTAGAATTTACAACTTGCCGAGCCTCTCTTGTGAATGGCATGTCAAATCTTTTATTTTGTCAGTCTGAAACAGAGGCAGCCCTGTATTAATGGAGAATATCTCTCTGACAGACACTCTTATGAAGTGAAAATCGATGCTGCTTTCCATAGCCACTTAAATCAGATAACTCCACAATGCTTAACAGAGGGATCTCTCCCTTGGTTATGAAAAATATGAGTGCACAACACTAATGCTACTTAAAACTGCTCATTTTTGCAACAGAGACCTGACTTGGATGCAAATCAAAGGACAGTGGTGGGATGATGAAATGGAATATTTATGCTCTTTTTATGGTACTTTTGAGGCCTATTAGCAGGAGATGAAATTACACTTGAAAGTCGTAGGCAGGTTGCTTGGTAGCTGAAATGAGAAACAAGTGCTTTTTACTATTGTGAGCAAATCACTAAACTACTTCTCTGGTGAATGATAATGATGTTCACTAGTGCATTAATAGAATGATCTAAAGCCAGCTATAAAAGGTACAAATTTTTGTGAGTATTTCTCTTTTACCCCTTAGCATATGCTGTTGTATTTCATAAAGGTTTCACGCATACAAAAGGTTTTTAGATGTAAGGGAGTACATATTGCAGTCATATTAACACTGTATCAACCTCTCCTCCCTGCTGCAGAATGAATTCTCCCTCCCTGCTGCAGAAACTGCCTTTGAATTGTCTTGGCCCTTGGCTGTGGAGCCTTGACCAGCTACCATGACATACCCCAACACCAGCGTAATGACAGCCAACTTCAGTGGCGCTTTGGAGCAGGACTCCGGGGGAAACATCTCCAGGCCCTTCTCTCTTTTCAGTGTACTCACCCTTACTTTACTTGCAATGCTGGTGGTGGCCACTTTTGTGTGGAACTTGCTAGTACTGGTGACCATCCTGAGGGTGAGGACATTTCACAGAGTGCCCCACAACCTGGTGGCTTCCATGGCCATTTCTGATGTGATGGTGGCCGCGCTGGTCATGCCCCTCAGCCTTGTCCATGAGCTGAACGGCCGGCTGTGGAAACTGGGCCGCGTGCTGTGCCAGGTGTGGATCTCCTTCGACGTGCTCTGCTGCACAGCCAGCATCTGGAATGTGACGGCCATCGCGCTGGACCGCTACTGGTCAATCACCAGGCACTTGGAGTACACGCTCAAGACACGCAAAAAGATCTCGAATGTGATGATTGCACTCACATGGCTGCTGTCTTCCATCATCTCCCTGTCACCACTATTTGGCTGGGGAGAAACCTACTCAAAGGGGATGAAGTGCCAGGTGAGCCAGGAGCCATCCTACACCATTTTCTCTACCTTTGGAGCATTTTACCTCCCTCTTTGTGTGGTGCTGTTTGTTTACTGGAAGATCTACAAGGCTGCCAAATTTCGGATTGGCTCCCGCAAGACCAACACAATCACGCCCATGGCCGAGGTGATTATTCCTTCTCTTTTTTAAAATTCATTATCAAAATAATCCCTCTTCTCTAATAGTCATAATATCACTTTCCTCCCCTTCCAATATCAAATGATGCAACAGGGTGATGCCCTTGACTCACACAAACCGGTTACTGAGCACTTACTTGTTATTTTGGCTGATGACCTATTCATCAGTAATCAGGGAAACATAAGTATCCAATATGTGAGCATACAGACAAATAATTGAAGCCATCCTGCTCATCACCACCAGCTTGTTAATGTGCATAGGCAGATGGTAGAAGGCTATAAACGCCATCTCCAGCATTGTTAATGGGCCACTGAACCTTACTGGCTTTACCGTTTTCCTAATCAGCAGACACAGTGGGCTTGATCTTTTCCACAGGCATTATCAAACATTTAATCAGGCAAATGTTACCTGTGAAAATTGAGTCACCAGCCACTTTTCACCTGCCCTGATGGTGGAAAATGCTATCTGAAACCCCCGAAAACACATCAGTGAGGGAGACTACACTGCTTTTAACCATCTCAGAGCATATACTTTTTTCTCTTACTTATGAAATGTCCACAAAGGAATGTAGTGTTTCACAGAAAATACACAGTAAAGTTTTCTCATTACCCAAAGTCTTATTACCCAGCCAGAGTGGATTCTTATCATTTCCCAGTGTTCGCTGGAAAGTCAAGGCCCTTCGAAGTGCAGAGCAGTGATGTGAGCAGCAGCATCAGCATCCAGGATAGTAAAACTCCGGCACCCATCCATCAACAACACCCACACAAAGACATTAAGGCATACACATACATACGTACACATGCCACACTAGAAACATAGTGTGTTGGTAGATATCATCTACTGAATCTTGGCCTAGTTACACCAACACTACCAAAAATTCTGTAGTTTCAGAAAATAGCAAAAATGAAAACCAACACTGATTTACCTCTGCTTCTACATTAACTTTACATTTTAGATACTTAAAACTACAAACACTCCTTGACTGAAGTATTTGAAATCATCTTGTTGTCTGATTTGTTAGGGCACCACATGCATGTAGTTGGCAGATGCATGTTGTGATACTTTAAAAGATTACAGAGGGTCATAAAAACCAAACCTTTCTTCCTATGGAAATGTTGAAAGACTGAATCTTCATGAGTCATTATTCACATGTCATAAGTCAAGTCAGAAGTCTAATTATGTGGAACTAAGGTGCCCGTCCCTGATGTGCTTCATTTTCTTTGTCTGAGAGTGCATCATAATCTCATTGAACCACTGTATAAAGGAAGACTTGTGCCCATTTTAGCTACTAAATATACTTCGGGGTGAACAAGGTTCTTGTCTAAATGTTGAACAGCAATGCTGATACAGTTAGAGGAATTGTTTGTCTCTATGAAAACTGTTAGGTAGTGGAATGACCCGGACATCTTCATCTGATAAATATAAAGTCAGCTCTGAGCAGTGCTAGGCAACAACTATGAGAGAAGAAAGTCAGCAGATTAGTGTTAACAGTTTCCTTTTCCAAGCTGCACAGTGTGTTTGTAAAATGTCACAAAATAAGATGCTGGAAAATGCAGATTAAGACATGACTCTGGCTTTACGCTCTGTGCAGTGTGTGTGAAATGAAACAATAGGCTTTGGCTTCATGATCTACTGGTTGACTCACACTTCGGCTCATCTGCCTATAATCCATGTGTTCCTCAACAGCCACAAAATTTTCACTTCAATAATTGTTTTTCTGTGGTCTACATTATTATAAATGTTCTAATTGTTTTGCTATCCAGATTTGTCTGAGTGATTATTGAATCAACAGACTAACTGATTTATTCTCTGACTGCTGTCTCCCAGGTAAAGGAGGAAACACACCAGCCCCAGATGGTGTTTACCGTGCGCCACGCCACAGTAACCTTCCAGACAGATGGGGACACATGGCGTGAGCAGAAGGAGAAAAAGGCGGCCCTGATGGTAGGCATTCTGATTGGTGTGTTTGTACTTTGCTGGATTCCCTTCTTCATCACTGAGCTCATTGTGCCGCTGTGCTCCTGCGACATCCCACCCATCTGGAAGAGCATCTTCCTGTGGCTGGGCTACTCCAACTCCTTCTTTAACCCGCTCATATACACCGCTTTTAATAAGAACTACAACAATGCCCTGAGGAACCTCTTCTCCCGGCAGCGTTGAGCTCTTTGGCATGCTCAGCGGACACACTATACCAGCATGCACTCCACAGTGTTACTCCTCCAGACAGAAAGACCACGCAATCATGGATGACACCCAGAAACTGTGTCTGAAAAATGTGTCATTTTTATTTAGGTTGTGCTGAGACATGTGTCCGAGCTACTATATCAACAAATAGAACTGTCTACATGTCGGGTTTCCCTTCATTGTTTGAGGCTTATTTGGGAGAAAAGCATGCTACCTCCCTAAAGTTTCATCATCATATGTGAGGTTGCTGGGAATAATTTCAATGTAGATGAAGTTCAAGAAAATTGAATTAAGAACTGAAAGAGGACCTTTATAAATAATAAACTAAGAACAAACTGTGGACTTTTTTCTAACCTAAATAACAAGATATGATTTTAAAATAACAATGAATTTGACTGCAGTAAAGAAGGGTTGTAGGATCTGAAAACCTCACCTTACACATGAACTCCCTGGTTTCACATGGAGTTTATTCATACATACTTCTAGAAAAATTTGATACTGGCTAGCTATACTGGTCCATCTTGCACATATACCTCCACTCTCCCATTTCTTTTATGATAGCAGGAAACTAGCAGAAAAGGTATGTAAAAACCTTTTCTGCTAGTTTCTTTGAATGTAAGCAATTCTGAGTAATTGCAGCAAAAAATGATCAAATTTCACTCTAGATAAATGAAGTATCTATGAGGTACAGAAGGTGTGAGCACTGGTGTAAAGCTACTGTATTAAAAGAAATATCACAACAGTTTCTGTAACTTGAGCAGTCAGAAGGAATTAAAAATAAAAATTTGAAAATAAAAAATTCATATGTGTTGCTTCATTGCATGGAGAGGTTAAGTGCTGAAATATTTAAAGTATGACTTGTGGTGTCATAGCACCCCATCCTCAGTCCCAGGGTGTCACATACTGACGACATGTCAAGTCAGGTAGCATTTTGCATCCATATGAGGCACACGGTTTTCAATAGAGTTTTCACTTGAGTCAGTAGGAAGGGCATCCGGCGTAAAATGCTTGTCAAATGTATACATGCAACCAGTTAATTCGCTGTGGTGACCTATAAAGAGAACAGCTAAAAGTGGTAGTAGTTTCACTTGAGTCAGTATTTGACTCCCAGAGCAAGAGGTTGTAGTATATGAAGGCAGAAAGTCCACAACAAGAGGTGGCCTTTAATTTGTTGGGTAATACAGGCTATTGGAATACAAGGAATCAAGCGTGAGAAATTCTTCTTCAGCAGATAGTTGTGCTATTACATATTCTCCTGTTGGATATTATGGTTTTTTGCACAAATCTTATAAAATGTTTCTGAATAGGAGAAAAAGGCAGCTGTGCCATGAACCTCCAAATTTTATATTCTTCAGATAAATGAAGAAAAACCTGTTAATGAGCTATATCACTGTTTAACAAGGCTAACAGTCTGCAGCTACTAGCTGTAAGGCTATGAATGGCAATGCTAACATGCACAAGAAGGTTTTTTTTTTTATCACTTTCACCATTTTAATGAAGGTCATTTTATTCTTTCAAATATGGTGAAGTAAATGAAAAGTATGGTGAGTGTCTTGAGCCAATGGCATTCTGCAGGATTCACTTATCTTCATAATTTCTTACTGCTCTAATTGCCTGAGGACAGTAGATTATTCATCAAGTTCGCCCCTTTAGGTCTTGCTCCGTGTGTGGATCCACCACAGGAAATGAAAGTGTTTTAGAAATATGTTGCTTTCCATCTATTCCTGTTTCTGTTTTTCATGTTCAAAAGATGTAAAAATGTGGACCATTACCTCTATTAGAGGCACTTTTTAGAAATTCAGTCTTGTATTCATAACTAGGAGGCAGACATAAAAGCAGTGAAATTTTGAAGGGTGCACAATGTGTAACTGTGTGCGCATTTTCTTCCACAGAAGCCCTGGAAAAAATTCACAATAAACGAACACTTTATTTGTCAAGCTTGGCACTACAAGAGGAAAGCTTATGAAAGTAATACCCAAGAGGCATACTGTTCGATATTTGCTAACAGTTGTATATTTACTCCTTCACAAACAAACAGGCATGTCTGCATAGAGTAACACAGAAATGGGAAAGTAAAGAATGAAAGGGATAATGAATTTAGCATTTTTATTATTATTTTGGACATCCACTGGAATCTTGGTGGTCATTTTATGTCCTGTATCTTTACGGTGCCACCGCCAGCGTGCACATTTCAGAGCCAGGAGTGAGCCTGCTGCTGCTCAAAGGAGCTCATCCAGTCATCGTTTCTGGGAAGAGAGTGTGCATGAAAATGTGGCTTTGCTAAACTGACTGGGGATTAGAACCAAATGCCTGTGGCAAGGCAAACCTGTGCTTTAGCTACTGAATTTTACAGAAATAGATGTGACAAAATACATGCACAATCATGGAACAGACTGTCACCACTTAGAGTGAAGGAAACATATGACGTGGCCAAATAGACACTTGTGACCTTTAAGCACTTGGATTTTTATATATATCCCTTATGTTCTAATTTCATTCATAGAACTTTAACATACCAGCAAAACAGGATTTAAGTAATGGGAGAAAAGCATGTGGTGGAGACTTAGTGTAGCATGGCCAGACTAGACCTTCACTGCCGTGTCTTTCTTATCTTGACAACAAAGCAGGCTCAGTCTCTTCCTGTCTGAGTTGATGTCAACTGTTTCACTCTGTAGAGACTGTACAGCACCATCATATAGGAGAAGATACTAGTGAGCTTATGTGGGATCTGAATGTGCACCTTACTCTCACTTTCTCAACCTTCATTCCGCTCCTTGCCTTTAATTCAGATTCTTGGGGCAAAGCAGAGATGATTGTAGGAGAATGGAACATTGGAAATTCTAAAATACTCCAGAGGAGACACAACCTGATAAACCTTTCTTTGCCTTGAGACAGAACTGGGGTGGGCAGTGCTTACTGGATTTTTCATTTTTCATACATTAATACATGAACTCTAATGATGTGAGGGATTGAAGCTTTAGACTAACATTGAAAAGTAGAACTTTAGAGTGTTTTAGCTTAGCATGCTAACATTTGCTAATTAGCACTAAACACAAAGTACAGAGACAGCTGATGAAAATTTAGTTTTAAACCAAAATGCTGGACAAGCATTATCAACTAGGTTGTGGCTACTTGACCCAAGCCAAATGGTACCTGTCAATACCTAAGGTTGTCGGGTTCGAGTTGGGTTTGGATGCCACACTCACAGGCACAGTTTGGGTTCAAATAGAAAAATGTGGCCGATCCATGCTCCACTGTAGACACAATTATTTCAAACCCCAAGTGTCAACTCCACAAATAAAATAATTCAGATATAATAAACAGAAGTTTAGTTTTCCAAGAACAAAATGCACCTGTTATTTTAGACAAACCCCCTCCTTGAACCGCCACCTTATTGTGGTGGAGGGGTTTGAGTACCCGAGTGATCCTAGGAGCTATGTTGTTGGGGGCTATATGTCCCTGGTAGGGTCTCCCAAGGCAAACAGGTCCTGGGTGACGGGTCAGACTAAGAGCAGTTCAAAAGCCCTTTATGAATAGATTAAAATCAAGGACCGTGATGTCGCCCGGCATGGCGCAGCCAGGGCCCCACCCTGGAGCCAGGCCCGGGGTTGGGGCTCGAATGCGAGTGCCTGGTGGCCGGGCCTCCCCTCA